GAGGGATGGGAGGGGACCAAGTGGGGCCTCCCCTGGGCTCATAGAATGTGTGTGCTCAGCAGATGTTTGGTGAATGAATGAACAATAGCAGAGACAATGCAGGAAACTTACTAGAAATAAAGATGACAGGAGTGGAGAATGAGTGGGGTATAAGATGTGACCTTCCTTTTGGAGATACTGATCTTATGCCTCTAGAAAGATCACTCCAGGAGGCAGAAAAGCAAAACTGGGGCTTAGGAGTGAGGTCAGGGTGGAATGCTGGTTTAGGAGGCACTGACATGGAAATAATAGTTGAAATAATGGGACCTGGTGAAATTTCTGATGGAAACTCTACACAGAAAAAGAGGTGGGCTCAGAACAGAACAGAACATGGAAACTGTTCACATTTAGGGGATGGTAGAGGAAGGAGGGCTGGAGGAGAAAAACAAGATGGGGCAGTGTGAAGGTTGGTGTTGGTCAGTAGTAGGGTAACCTAGCTGAAGTTGTCCAAGTCCAGTGAAGGACAGGGCTTGAGGATAGACCCAGCTGCTGAAATGACAGGGAGGACAGGGATGGCAGGCCAGAAGATTCCCAGTATCCTGCAGCTGTGTGAGAGCGGAGTTAGAGGAGTGGTTGGTGCCCCAGGCATGGCTGCTGCTGGGAAGTGTGAATCAGATGCTTTGGGATGATGGTGGGAGTTGTCCTGCTGGAAACTGGTGAAAGAAAGACACGTTGTCAGTCTTGGAAGACATTTGAGTAGCATAACCTCATGGTTTTAAGCACCTGGGTTCTAGAGTCATATCTATGTTCCAAAACCAGCTCTGTGATGTTTGTGACCTTGGGCAACTTCCTTAGGCAAACCGATATTTCATTTCCTCACCTGTGAAGTGGTCATAAAATATGAACTGGCATTGAACATGACAATGTGTGTAAAGAGCCTAGTCCAATATGAGGGGCATAGCAGGTGCTCAGTGAATGTTAGCTACTAGGAATAGCAGCAGCAATAGTGCTTGCATGGCTAGGAAGATAAGAACTCAGGTTTGGAGGTTGTAACAGTCAGGCTAGACAATGATATGCTGCAGTAACAAACAACGCTAAACCTCAGCACCTTATAATAACAAAGGTCTATTTTTCACCCAAGTGTCATGTTCATCATGTGTTGGCAGTGCCCCTACCATGTCATCTTCACTCTGAGACCCAAGCAGAAGAAAAGGAGTGCCTGGCAAAGAGCATGGTGGCTTATACAGCTTCTGCTCCAAAGTAACATGTGCCACTTTTGCTCACATTTCACTGGCTACGGTCACATAGCAGGGCCCGAGTTCAGTCAAGCAGGGAAGTATAATTTCTCAACTAGGGACACCTGATGTTGGTAAACAGTAATTCAGTTGACTGCAGTGGAGCTAGTCAGTGGCATAAGCAGGGAGCTTGACCACCTGTGTAACTCAGTAACTCAGTTTCAAAGCCTGGGTCACAGAATCAGAGCAGGGCTAGGAGAGTTGTTCCTGAGCCTGGGATGGGACAAGCAGAGCATGGGACAGGCATGGGGAGTCCTGGGCAATTCTCTTCAGGAAGAAAGAAAACCAAGATGAAGAAACCAATAATACCAAACGGGAAGGGAGAGTTGATAAAAGTTACACAATAACCTGACCTAAGTCATCGCGGGCCCAACAACCCATATGTGTTCACAGAGAGGTGAGCACTTGTGTTGTGTGCCCAGGAGGCCAGGTCCCAGGTGGAAGAGAACCATGCAAAGAAGTGAAGCTCAGGCACCTGCTTCTGTTCTCAGACTCATCCTTGCATCCTCAGGGAAGTTCTGTTCTTCGCTGGCCTGTCCCAAGTCAATACCATAGAGCAATGAGTGAAAAAAGTGAGAAATGGAATGAGAGAAACAACACCATCATTAAACATGTGCACACAAAACACATACAACATGCCTGGCCTCCAGGTGCCCTTGCAAACACATTAAAAAAAAAAAAATTTTAGTTTCACCTAATCTTACACCCAATGTGGGGCTTGAATTTACAACCCCGAGATCAAGAGTTGCATGCTCCACTGACGGAGCTAGCCAGGCGCCCCAGAGAGTGCCCACATTTTAAATAGAATGGTCATGGAAGGTTAGGAGGGAGCAAAGGACGGCCTTGTGGAAAAGCGATAAAAGAGAATTAATAAGATAAACAAGAGTGGCACCTCACCCAGGCCAGTGGTGACAATGCTCCATGAGCTGAGGAGTATAATTAACTCGACCCTTTGCACCTGAACTCCAAAAATGGATGAATGAATGAATGAATATCTTTGTCTTCTACTCAGTCTTCCAAAGTATTTGATGTTTCACCAAAGAGATCTCATTAGAGCTTCAAACACTTGTTGAGCTATTTGTTTGCTTTATTTCATGAAGAGGCTGTGTATAGCTCTCATCCCGTGGTGTGTGCTCAGATGTTCTCAGGTATTCCCTGTGTGGACTGGATGGAGTCTGGAGCAAGAACCCATCTGACAACCCTGGGCTCTCCAGTAAAACTCCCTGTGATGATGGAAATGTTCTCCAATCTGTGCTGTTCAACTCAGGAACTGAATTTTAAATTTTACTTAAATTTAAGTGCAAACAGCCATATGACTACCATTTGGGGCAGCTGAGGCTAGAGTCTAGGTCCCAGAGTGGATGTGCCAGGCAGTACTTACCTTCAGGTATCAGAATGCAATAGGAGCCTATGATATGTCCAAGGTCTTGCCTGATAATTCTCTGGTATATAAGCAAAAGCATTTCATCATCCAAGGAAGAAGTTCCAGCCAACTTCCAAGCCATGACTAACCTTGTTTTCTTCTCCATCATCAACACCATCACCATCACTCCTCTCCATCACTGCCTCCAAAACACTCGATTTCCTGGCCAGTTGTGCCACATATGTGGTTAAGAACAAACACAACCTTTTAAGAGCTTACAAGTACAGACAGATACACAGAATGTAGGTTGTGTTTGGCACGTAAAACTTAGTTATAAATCAACTTGTATCTTTAAGACAAGAAATAGCTTACATCACTAATAGAATACAGAAAAGTACAAGAAAAAAAGTGTGTATATATATAGCGTATATATATACAGTGTGTATATATTTATACATATATACACATACATATATATATACACAAACACACATATATATATTCATACATACATGAGATTCAGACAATACAGACATAGTCATTAAAGTACAAATGGAAGGTGAAAGTTTCTTTCCTTTCTTTGCATCTCTCTTCAAAAAGGTAACTTTCATGAACTTTTCTTGATTCCTTCCATAAATTAAAAAAAAACACCTCTATGTATAACTGTTCATGTCAATGCATACACACTCACACATGTATAATTCACAGGGGGATCAGAATATACAGACATAAAGACTGGCTTTTTCATATAACATGTGTGGAGATTTCTACTCTTGGAACATGCAGGCACACCTCCTTCTTTGTCCTGTCTGCATAGTATTCCACTGTGTGGGCTAAAGGGTTGAATTATGTCCAACCCCAACAAAAAAAAATATGTTGGAGTCCTAACCCTTAGGTCTTCTTCAGAATGTGACCTTATTTGGAGATGGGGTCTTTATAGAGATGATGAAGTGAAAATGAGATCATTAGGTACAAAAATGACCGTTGTTCTGGTAAAAGGGAGAAATTTGAACAGAGACAGGCATACATAGAGGAAGATTGTTATGAAGAAGTATAGGGAGAAGACCACCATTTACAAACCAAGAACAGAGGCCTGGGAGAGTTCTTCCCCTCATGACTTTCAGGAAGAAACAACCCTGCCAACACCTTCATCTTGAACTTCCTGCCTCCAGAACTGTGAGACAATAAATTTCTATTATTTAAGAACACCTAGTCTGTGGTATTTTGTTATGGCAGCCCCAGAAACTAACACATATGGTGCATCAACATTTATGTCCTTAGATGGACACTTTGTTTCCAGAAGAATGTTTTTAATGCAGTAGGCAAACTGCAATTTAAAGAATCCCTTTGGGGAAGTTGTTTGTTTTTTATAAAACAAACAATTCTTTTTGGGGTATGAATACTTACTAAGTATTCAGACTTGATTACTTGCGTTTTAATATATCAAGCTTTTGTAAAGCGAGCCCACCTGTCAACAAGACGCTGATCCTGGTAGACGAAGTGCAGTTACAGAGATTCCATACCTCACAGTGATTGAAAGGGAGTCAGGTGACATTCTTAGGACTTTTTTGGTTGCAAGTGACAGGAGCCCCACTTGTACTAGTCTGAGGGCAAAGGAAATTAAATTTTTTAAAGATTATTTATTTATGAGAGAGAGAAAATGAGTGGGGGCGGGGGGCAGAGGGGGAGAAGCAGACTCTCCGTTGAGCAGGGAGCCCGACTCAGAGCTTGATCCCAGGACCTGAGATCATGACCTGAGCCAAAGGCAGATGCTTAACCAACTGAGACACCCAGGCATCCTAGAAATTAATTTTAAGGCTATTCTGATGTCTTGCAGGATTTAAGGATAGCTGGGTTTCAGGGAAAATTGAGACCAGGACACCATTAGAACCCTCTCCCTCTGACTTGAGTCCTCCTCCTCTTTGCAAATTTGATCAATTCTCCCTGTCTTCTTGAGATGAGCTTCCCTATTTATGTGGCCCACAAGATAGAGAGCCTGGCTTTGAAAGGACTCTGATGGGCTCAGCTTGGGTCACATTGTCATGCCAGGACCTAGCCTCACCCAAGAGCAGAGTCATGGTGTACTAACCTAACTGCAACTTTGGAAACCATTTGGATGTTGGGAGTGGCATGGTGGGTGGAGAACTCCTGCTGTTGGAAGGAGGTTTCCAGAAGACAGCTGCCTGGGGTCTCCTAATTGTTTTGATGGAAGCTTCCTGAAAGAGATGTAATCTCACTGATGCCACCATTTGGAGAAAACCTTTGTAACGCCCAGCCCAAGGGCCCCGGGCCAGCTCCTTGGGCGACAGAGAAGACTCCCCCCTATCCGAGCAGAGGTACCTTTGACAATTTGGAACACACCAAGGGCATCCTTCCCCAGACCTCTGCAACTGTGTGCTCCTTCCAAGCAGAAGCAGAAAGCAGCAGAAATGACTGTCAAAACAAGGCCGGGCTCTGCCTGCAGGAAAATCCGGGCTGTGGCGGTGGCTTAGCGCCTGCCAAGCGAAATACCAGTTAGGAGATGTCGCTGGCACGCAATTTAAAGAATAACTTGACTAGCACTTGAGGTTATTTAGAAAAATACCTTTGGTCACGTGCTTTCCAGAATGCTATGTACTTGAAATGAATCATCTGTACCCAGCCCAGAGCAGATTTAATTACAATCCCCTCCCATGTTGCTTCTTTTAAAACTTGACCTTCTTTTCTGGTTGCTATTCAAATTCGGCAAAATATCAACTGGATTTTTTTTTTTTTTTTTTTTTGAAGCTGAGGAAGAATCTTTCTATAGCTGAACAGTTCCAGACAGGAAGAAGAGACCAAGCTCATAGGCAGGAGCCTTGCAATGTAGTGATGACAAGAGATTACCTTTCATTACCGGGAATATGTCATTTACCTACGAGGGCCGTAAAATAATTTGTCCTAATGACTGTATGCAGCTTGTAAGCAAAAACAAACATCAAGAGGACACAAACAGAATAGTGTGTGAATAATCTGACAAGGCTATGCCAGCCAAACACACTTGACATCTGTATTTCTAAAGCAGGGGGGTGGAGGGTGTCACTATTCATGTTCGACGCTGGGGTTTTAGTGGATATGATTAACCCACAGGTCGTGCCCATGACTTAATAGAGTGGCCTTTATCGTGAGACCAGTAGACGGGCAAGGGCAAGGAAAAAAGGCCCTGGCGAAAGAAGTCAGGCAGGATCGTGAACCCCTGGGAGCCTCAGTATCTGCATCTGTAAAGAAGCCTCGATGATCCACACATCGCAAGGTTTCGCACAATTTAGAGAAAATGGATATAAAGTGACTGGCCCACGATGGAAGGCTTAGCAACACTGGTTATTATTGTTCTTTTTCAGCCTTCCTTCCCCGTGTCTGGTAGTGTAGCTGTTTGCACCTCTGGATGTTAAGCAAACATCGCCTGGTTCAATCCAGAGTTGGACCAGGCTCCCTTCTCATTGTCTTTGTGTTTCCAATTAGTCATTAGATCTGCTGAGAGGCTGACCCCAGAGGAGCATACTAATAGATGTCAGTTGGGAGTTGATCAGAACCTATTATCCCTGGGGTTGAGTAGCTCAAGGGGTATGGCTGGCCTGACCTTCACAATGAGGGTTCGTGGTCTCATGGCGGTACTCCCACGTGAGAGATAATGATAGTGAACAGATGTCCTGCTCGGCCAGAAATGATATCTTCCTGGGGAGCCGCCATGGGCTTCTTGTCATCCAGACCCTTCCATCCTTTCCTGGGCCTATGTCCCAGATCCCTTCTCATCAGGATGTCAGCTTCCTGCCCTCTCTAACTCCCTCCTTCCCTCCCTCTAAGAATCAAGCCTATGAGGGTGTACACACTCACCTGGGGGGACATTCTTGGCTACAGGACTTAAAGCTATTTATTTAGGAGGTTCAGAGAGGCCATGTCAAGAAACCAGATCATGAAGTCAGATGAACCAACCATGCAGCAGTGTCTGCTGTGTTCTGAGTGATTTTTATCATCACAGGTGAGGCAGGTCAGTGACCGCAAGCCCCACAGCCTCCCAGCCGCTCCTTCGGACTCTCAGTTCATTCTTCCTTCCTACCAGCCCACCCTGGAGCAGGTGGGGGGAGGGAGATCCCCATGATGCCTTAGCTGCCCTTGAGCACCCATCCTCAAACTCCTTTAACACCTATAATTTATTTCACACAGCTCAGGAAAATAATGAAGTGAGAAAGAGGGGAGGTTGATCAAGGACGACCTCTCTGAGGTAGCTATGTCTCTGCAGAGACCAAGCGGTGTGCAGAAAGATGGGAGAGGTGTGGGCTCCAGGGAGAGGAGACAGACATGAGATCAGCCTGCCGTGGGAGGAGTGGGTGGGACTGTGCTTGGCTGGCGAGGCAGGGAGGCCACCAATGCAGGCCCTCCAGGCCTTGGTTTTGCTCGTGGACTTTATTTAAATTTGGATGAGAGCCTTTGGAAAGTTTCTTTTTTATTGTGATAAAACGTACATACCATAAAATGTACCATTTTAGTCAATTTTAAACGTACATTTCAGTGGTATTAAGTGCACTCCCATTGTTATGCAACCATCACCACCATCCATCTCCAGGACGCTTCCATCTTGCAAAACTGCAACTGTACCCATTGCACTCGCTCCCTACTCCCTGTCTCCCAGCCCTTGGCAACCACCATTCTCTCTGCCACATACTCACCAACACTTGTTATTTTCCTTGTGTGAGTGTGTGTGTGTGTTTAATAGTAGCCACTGTAATGGGTGTGTTTTGGAGGGTTCTGAGCCAGGGGGTGGCATGACCTGGTTTGTTTTTTTTAAAGGATCCCCCTGGCTGCTAGGTGGAAAATGAAGTGCGTATAAATTACCAGGCTAATTTTGAGGACGAAGAGGCCTCTGTGAGTAAGTATTCAGGGCCAGTGTACAAAGTATTGTTGTCCCAGGCAAACCAGACAGGTGTTCACCTACCTCTGTTTGGGAGGCGGGCGTGAAGCAACCCTGGAGGCCAAGAGCAGGCAGAGGTGAGGGTGCACTCTGTCCATCTGCAACAGAGAGGGGGGTGGGTGAGGAGCTGAGGAGGCAAACAGGGTGGGGAGGGGGGAAGCCACTACCACTCCCGTATGAAGAGGGGAGGAGAAGGTGGTATCACTGAGCCCAGGGCCCCAGCAGGCACGTTCTCAGAGAGCAAGAGCATGGAGGAAAGGGCTACTGCTGCTCACCCCCAACTGTGTCCACTGGCTGAACCCAGATGGGGGACATGGCCCGGGAGCCCCCCCAGAAGCCTGCAGGAAGGCCTGGGGGAGCTGAGCACTCACTAGAGGGTAGTCATGGGAGGTGGAGTGGATAGGCCCAAGGCTGGCTGTGGGGTCTGAGGCAGGGAGCAGAATGAAGAAAGAGGCCAGCATTTCTAGAGAGAGTTGCCCCCTTCCCAAGGTGGGGAGATGGGAAGGGAGCAGGGGGAGGGTTGGCTCCAAGGGCTCATCCTCTGTTTATCCATTTAGCTGCACCTTTCTTTCGTGTGCATTTCTGATGTAACTTTTTTATTTTTTTAAGATTTTATTTATTTATTTCAGAGAGAGAGAGCACAAGCAGAGGGAGAGGGAGAAGCAGGCTCCCCGCTGAGTAGGGAGCCTGATGCTGTGGGACTCGATCCCAGGACCCCAGGACCTTGAGCTGAGCCAAAGGCAGACGCTTAAGCCACTGAGCCACCCAGGTGCCCCTGGTGTGACTTTTATTTAACAATAAAATAGTGTAAGATAAAGAAGGAAGGAAGAAAACTCTGGATACTTAGGGAGTCAAACATTACATTTTTCTCTGTGCTCCTTCGTGGATAAGGCAGAAATAAAAACCAGTCCTCTGCAGTTCCCCCTTCCCGGGCAAGGAGGGGTCCTGCAGCTTTGACCATCCTTTGTATGGGAGCTGGAGGTTGGGGAGAGAGAAGACGGGAGCTTCCCCACCCTGGGCTGTGAGACACACACAAAAGCGCAAAATGAGACAAAGGAGAAGCCAGAAGCATTAGATCCAACTAGGTTTGGGGAAGAGGTAAACACTGGAGCCCTGGCCACAGGGTCAGCGAGGTGAGGTGAGCAGGCTGGGTCAGCCAGGGCTGGGGAGGCTGATGCATGGAACCTGCCTGGGGATGGGAGGTGGGCAGACGGTCTGCTGGTGGGCAGGGAGCTGGCTGGTCCAGCGGGTCCTCATGTGGGGAAGGTTTGTTTATTTCTTTTAGGAAACAGTTCTCTTGGCTCTATATTTGAAGCAGAACTTATCACTAAGTCCTCACATAAAAGATGTTGAGTCATACACAGAACTGTAGATCTAAATAAAGAGGTAAACTGAGGCAAGGTCAAAACTGTCAAAAAAGATGAGTTCACTTAGAAATAGCAGAGGTATTGCAGTTTGGGACACACACGCTAGAGCAAGCCACAGGGGAGTTGGATGAGGGTTTGGGGTGGGTTGCATTTATGGGCACAAAATGTAATGAGGGGAAAGCTCAGAGTCTGTCAAAATAAAAACCTGGAGACGAGATTTGAAAATTCCCTGAGCAGACAAAACCATTCCAGTCACACAAACAAAGCTCGATGGCTTATTTTGTGAGACCAGCCTGACCTGGTTGCTTCTTGTTCATGCCTCTGGATACCATAAGTAAATCTTCCCAAGGTTGATATGAGGCAACCCTGGACCAACTCCTTATCATTTAAGACAATTCCAAAATTATCAGTGTTCTGTAAATCAGGCATTTATGGAAGAGTGGTCTCTTAGTCCTTAAGTTTTGTTTTCCTAAGGGCATATGCATGACCTTCTTCATTTTTAAAAAATATTATTTGAGAGCGCACACAAGCGGGAGGGAGGTGCAGAAGGAGAGGGAGAAGCAGACTCCCTGCTGAGCGTGGAGCCCTACACATGGGGCTTGATCTCAGGACCCTGAGACCACGACCTGAGCTGAAATCAAAAATCGGACCCTTAACCGACTGAGCCACCCTGGTGCTCCATGAAGTTCTTCATTTTAAATCCTCCTGTTCCATTTTAGATGGAAATTCTTTTACAAGGCAATACCTTCCTCCCTCATCAGTTCTGCAGAACAATTTAAGAATATTTAGTTTTGCATCGTTTACTATTGTTTTCTTGTCTCCTCGACTAAAAGTCAATACGTATTTCCGTAGCATATACAACCCAATGCTCCGAACACTGCTGGCTTGTTGATGGCTTGATTATTCACTTACTTATTTTTACTGAAGTACAGTTGACATACAATGTTATATTCACTTCAGGTGTACAAAATACACAACATTACACAGTGCTCGCCACAGTGTCATCACCATCTGTCCCCATACAACATTATTACATTATTGACTATATTCCTTATGCTCCACTTATCATCCCTGTGACTTTATTTTATAACTGAAGTTTGTACCTCTTAATCCCCTTCACCTACTTTGCCTATCCCCCCGCCCCACCTTTTAAAACTTTTTGCTTAGGACAATGACTTAGCACTTGAGAAGACTGACGCTCCCAAGATATGCTTCGTTTGGGGAGCAGGTACTCCCTCTGTGGGAAGCTATTTTCTAATCCCCTGAAAGCAATCTATTTATACCCTGAAATCCGAGTTTTTAAGGAAATGTATCATTATTATAGCTTGCATAACTACAGTTATGTCAAAGAACTATTTCTACTGCCCTAGAATCATTGCAGCTGAGCTCCGTGCGAGGCAGAGTCGGTACACTGTATTCTCTGCTCATTGCTGTGCACTGACTTCCCTGTAATTGTGAGAGTGACCTCTTTGTTCCAGGGTCATGCAACCGGGTAACAAAGGAGAGTGATTACTGCTTGCTTTACCATTGAAAGACTGGAAATACTGCTTTTCAAGCCTTCAACTCATTTCCTCTCCTGGCTTTAACTGAGGGCAAGACAACTATAACCTGGACAGCGTTGGGTGGAGCCAGCAGAGGGGTGTCCAAGGCCGCCTACCTGCTTCGGTCCACCCTGCCAGGCCTGGGGAGAGCTCCCATTGAGGGCAGTGCAGAGATGGGGCAGTCCCAGCCTCGAGGAGAGGAGGGTTCGAAGCAGGTAGAAATGCAGGGCAAGTTAAATTGGCCCAATGGGAGGAGGAGGGCATCTGTTAGAGGAGGGAGGTAGGAGAGAGAGATTGCTGAGGGCTCAGGAAATGTGAGAAGGAGGGGCTGGTGGGAGGGCCTTGGGGAGCAGGGGCAGAGGACAGGGGAGTGGGGAGACAGAAGCTGGAAGGTAAAGGTGGGTGTGGGCAAGGTTGTGGAGAGCCCCCTGCAGGGCTGAGTTTGGACTTGGCTCGCAATTAAGTGGTCACCAGAGACCTCTGGATTTCACAGACCATTTATTTTTCTTAAAGTATGGTTGAGATGGAAAGGAATGAAAGCAGGTTACCAACGCATGCACGTGCACGTGTACACACACACACACTATTCCCATCAATTATTCTAGTGCTTTTATAAATGGAAAGATATTGTAACACTCTTCAGAAAACAAAATAGAAAGAACAAAACATCAAAATAAAGGACAATACTTTTGAGAAGCAACAACCAATAACCTTATATCACAGGTTTGCCAAAGACTGAGAACGTCATCTCAGGCTGGCAGGTTACACAGGCCCGCTTTGTCATCCCCTCTGTGGAAAGCCCGGAGGACTGTCTGGGGAGGGGGGCTCAGCAGGAGGCCTCAGGCAGGCAGGGCCTTGCACTGGGCTAAGCACTGGGGATTGGGGAGACAGTTAGCAGGCCACTGTCAGAACCCGTTGTAAAATGCCCCTGGAGCCCATCCTCTGTCCCTGGCTATCAGTCATTCTGTCTCATCTGGACCATGAATGGCTTCCCGGCTGCTCTCCCTGCCTCCACCACTTAACTTTCATAATCTATTCTCCATATGGCAGCCAGAATGATCTTTGAAAAAAACGACTTGATCATGTTTCTCACTTGCTAATGTCGGTCAGTCAATAGCTTGCCCACAGGCCTGGCGTGGAGTCAGGCACTTGGACCCAAGGCCCCCTCAAGCAGTCTCTGTCGGTGGCTCTGATCTCACTGGCCCTCCCGGTGTGCAGGGCTGCAGCCATGGTGGACCCTCTTCAAGCCCTCCTCCTCTGTCTGCAACACGTTCCTCCTGCTCTTTGCCTCCGTACCTCCGGCAGGTCTCTGCTGCAAGAGAACATCCACAGAGGGGTCTTTCCAGAGCCCCCATGTCACCTGGGCTCCTGCTGTCTCCCATGACACCTGTGTTCTGTCTTCACAGCAGCTATCATAGTTTGTGGGTTGACTGTCCCTGCATTTGGGGATTTGCTAGAAGAACTCACAGCACCCACCATGTTGTTGTGCCCATGGCTAAGACTTACAACAGTGACATAGTAAGGATACACACATGGATCACAAGGCAAAAGACACAAGTGGAATCTGGAGGAAGCTGTATGTGGGCTTCCTTGTGCTCTCTCCCTCCAATGAGGGTCACAGAGAGCACATTCTCTCCTAGCGGCAAAAACACAGCAATATGTGTGTAATGTTTCTGCCCAGGGAAGCCCATTACAGACTCGGCGCCCAAGATTGTTACTGGGGGCTGATGATATGTGCACCCTCTGCCTAGCACCTATTAAAATTCCAGACCCCCAGGAGGAAAGCAGGTGCATAAACCGCATTGTTTGCACAAACAGAGGAGGCTCAGGGAGCCACTCTTAGCAGTTAACTGTTGACGGGGGACACTCCTGGAGCTGAGATCTCAAAGGTCAGGCAAGGCTCAAGCCGGCAAGCGGGCTTTCTATGCATCGCAGCCTCAGGCCTGCTTGGTGAACCCCTTTTCCACATAATTTGTAATTAGAACTTTATCTCTGTATCTCTTGCTATGGGGACAAGGCCCCGTCTACCATGTCCTTCACTCTACCGAGCACTTAGCATACAGCAGACTCTCGGCTGAGTGTTTAAGACCACAGGACTATCTGCTGGGAGTGCTGGTCTACTGCTGCTGAACTGTGACTTGGACTAGCTCCCTCACCTCTCATGGCCTCAGGTTTCTTATCTGGAATAAG